CAGGAAATCAGGACAGAACAGGACGAGACAGAAGCTTCACCGTACCTCTGAATTTTCCTAATGCTGCATTAGTGGAAGAAAAGCAGAAGCGTTAGTGATTCAAACCCAAAGTGAGGAGAGGAGCGCATGCATGTGAGCATATAAAGCGAACGCACCTGTCTTTCTTGTAGAACTCCAGCATCATGTTATCGGTGGCGACGCTGAGTGGGCGTCGGCTTTGGTCCGGCTGCCTGCGATCTGATTGGTCCAAGTCCGGCGACGGCATGGAGCTGTAGCTGGCGTTGTGGTTGTTATGAACAGGGCTGCCGTAGCTTCCTGTCACGTTAAACTCGATCTCTGCGAACACAGAACCGTTTTAGCACTGGTCGTTCACGCCTCAGATTTGCAAAAGACTCAAGAAATGGGCGTGCAGATATACAGACAAATGAATATTAAAACAAGAGCAGAGAAAGAAAGAAAAAACCATCAACAACAGAGATAGGGGCCACCTTGATATATTCTAAAAATATAATAATAATGATAATGAACTCTCAGGAAATCGTATCATTAGAGACTACTAACAACTTTCATGAACAAATCCAATTTATAAAGCGGATAGTACCGGTCCTTGATTCTGATTGGCTGAGCCGCGTTCGAAGCTGTTGTGAATGACTCTACAAAGTAACATACACCTTTGTTTACGTTTGTGTGTTGCTCGGCAACCACTTTGTAGCAACCACAACTGTTTCTGAGGAGCTACATTGTTTGGTGGAAGAATACTGTTTTTATTAATATCATTACACTTTATTTGCTCTGTTTTATTTTGTGAAACCTAACTACGTATATGGAATAACTGTTTTATAAAAGCAATAACCCCCGTGAAGCCGTGGTTTACAGTGAATTTATAACAGCTAAGGGGGTTTTCGCGGAGTGCCTAACAACACAAGTATAACTTAGCTGTTATAAATTCACTGTAAACCACGGCTTCACGGGGCTTATTGCTTTAATGTTTTGATAAATTATTATTTTAAATAAATAAGCAGACATACCGGTCTACATGAAAAATGAAGAAGAACATTTAATAGTTCTAATAATATTATATAAGGAATAAAAGCATAGTTACTTTTCGTTCGCTCTTCTTTGAATTTTCGGTGTATATCAATAGCTATGTTTCCATCCAAAGATTGGAATTAAATTTACGCGCAAAACTGGAATATCGCATAAAACATTTGCGAATAAAGCACCGTTTCCATCGAACGAGTCAAAGAGAACAAAATCATCGCTTCCTGATAAACTGTGGCACGCTAAGAAAACTAGGAGAATATAATGATTTTTGTATATAATAAATCACTTGCGTGCGCTTCAGAGCGAGCGAGACGAAACACAGTTAATGCTGTCAATGCTTTCGGAGCAGATGCTGCTGTTTGGGAACGCAGTCGTTAAAGACAATTATACAGAAATACTTTGACGACAGACTTTGCTCAGGCCTTTCAGAACGATCATAACAATATTTCAGATGCTGTGAACGAGATCGGTCCGCTGGTTAGTTAAGTTATCCCGTCTCATAGCGCAAAGTCACATGACTTTTTCGATGCGCATGGAGGAATTTATTCGGTAAATGTGTTTCCATCGTAGTTTATGCGCATTTTTTCTTATCGGATATAACGTTTTTATGCGCATTTTTAGAATTTATGCGCATATTGGTGTTTCCATCCAGCGTGTTTTTATGCGATATTCCAAAATGTGCATAAAAATAGGTGGATGGAAATATAGCTATTGTTTGCTGTGTATCACAATAATCCATTGTGTCATCATGTTCATGATCAGACGTACCGCTGTATCAGTGCCCTTATTTGCGCATCTTTTATTTGACAAATAAAACTGTTGTGCAACCTGTATATACATGTTAACATCTCAAAAAACGTGTTTTAGGGTTTCATAACCCTTTAAATAGATCAGAATTGTCAGTACAGGGTAGATTACTTAGAAAATGTAATCCGTTACGGATTACAAATTACATAACAAAAATTGTAGTTAGTAACGTAATCCGTTACATTACACATTTTAGGTAATGTAATCGAATTACTTTTAGATTACTTTTGATCTAACTCATTACATTGATTTGAATAATAATATCTTGTACCATATTGACATAAAAATACAAATATATATTAAACGTGAAATGCATTAAACATTGCATTGCGTCAAGGTTTCCCAAATGGGGATCGTGAGTTTAATGCAAAGCTAAAATTTAATTAAATCATTAAAATAAATCATAAAATTAAAATAACTAATTTAAAAATAGCAACAATCAAAATAAAACACTTACTAAAAAAAGATCTCATGGACAGTGTGAAATCTTTGACAACAAATGCAAATTAGATTGTACTTCTAAAAAACTAAACAAAACTAAATGTACTGATAAATGAGTAAAAATTTTAGATATACACATTTGTGCGTGTGTGTGTGTGTGTGTGTACCCCTCCGTATGCGCCCACAGCAGGTTTGGCCCCAGAACAATCGCAATGTTTCCTGGCGTCATTTTATTGTAATCCTGATACTCGTTCAGCTTGGCAAGAAATTTTATCAAATACCTGGAAATCAAAGAAGATTAAAAAAAAAAGTTAAATAAGTTTAATGTTAAATGAAATGTTCATTGAAATGTTTAATTAAAGGGATAGTTCACCCAAAAATGAAAATGTGTTGTTTATCTGCTTACCCCCAGGGCAGCCAAGATGTAGGTGACTTTGTTTCTTCAGTAGAACACATATGATGATTTTTAAGTCC